CATTTAATGTATATGAAAAACAATATTTTGATCTGTTATCGTTTTATTTCACGATGGGCTCTGCCCCTTCCGGACAACTAGGCCACCGCTTTTGGGGTCCTGGCAGCTACGCTTCCCCAGGGCCCATTACCACTGTCGACAGTTCTGTGTAACACACTCCCTATATTCTGACAACTACTGTAACAAAATAGCACCATGAATGGTTGGTCTGCTATACTGTACTTCCAAAAATGTGCTCCAGAGCCATTAAATTATAAAACACATGTGGATAAAGTCGGAAATATGACTGATAGCTAATAATGACCTGGGTCAATTTGTAAATCAATAGAAATTTTGTAATGATAATACCAGCTCTCCAGTCCTGCAGTAATTTACTTTTCCTACCGTGTACTTTATCTGTGTTGTTCAATTGCATAGGATCATCAACTACTGTACAGTATGCTGTGAAAGTTGAACTCTACTGTAGAATTCATTATTTATGGTGTTCAAAATACAGTACTTGCCTTACAATGCTATGAATAAGACCATGGTTTCAAATCATGTGAAGTGATTATTTATCTCACAATTATAAATAATTCCACTCAAAAGTAAACTTTATATTAAACTTAGAGTACTACTATCCAGTTGTTCTAACAGGCCAAGACACTACTGTAAATACAGTGACAGGTAACTCATATTTTCTTTCTTAAGATTACATTAAAGCTTACATAGTAGCCATAGTTGAACTTCAAATACTGAACTATGACCTAAAATATCAATCAACTGTCTCATTAAAAATTACTGATTTTTCTCAAATTAAACCCCAAAGACATATGAATAGCATTCTGTGATACTATTAGAGCCCAATCACACTTGAGAGTTACGTTGGCCCAGGGCCGCCTCAGGGCCGGCGATTTTTAAGTGTGAACAATCAATAAATGTTAAGCTGGCCCTGAGCCGACCTAAAGTTAATCCGACTTTTGAGTCGGCTCAGGTCCCGCAATGCGGGCCCAGGGCTGCGCTAATTATAGGCCTTGGTTATTATGAGAATAATCATCGCCATAATCATGAAGCAGAATGCTATCGGCTTAAAAAATCGAAAAAGTATAAGGACAATTTTTGAAATTAGGTTCATGTTTCGCGCGAATTCCATGTGTTTATGCTAGGTGGTGATTTACCGTTCAGCCATCAAAATGCGATCGCCTCAAACTTCCTGTCCTGCAATTCATCGACCCGGCCCAAAAGAATTAGTGTGAACGTCCGTAAGGCGGCCCTGGACCAACTTAAAACAATAACTGTGAACGGAAATGAAGTTGAGTCGGCCCTGAGTCGGCCGTAATTTAAGGCGACCCTGGGCCGGCCTAATAAGTGTGTGATTGGGCTCTTAGTCATTATAGTGTACTGTATGTAATTTTTTTTCGTTCCATACAGAAACACTTGTGGAATGGGTTGTTAAGGTCAGGGAGGCTTGAGGCTAAGTCGCTTTATTTCAGATTATGTTTTCTTTCACTTTAATAATTTCAATAAATGTCATGGCGATCATGACTATAATCCACACAAATTAACTATCAGAATGTGTACGATCAACTAATGCACTAAGCCATTTTGAATAATTGATTATTAAACTATACTTTTAAATAACTTTATAGTTACAGTATTATAATTACAGGTCTCCCTCCAATAAAAGACCACTTTTGGGGCCTGGATTTTCATGGTCTTTATCAGCTTTGGTCTCTAATTAGAATAATAAAAAATAAAGAAATTTGTTAATTTGAGATAAAAAAAAAAAGTGGTCATTAATTAGAGGTGGTCTTTAATTGGAAAGGTCTTTAATTAGATGGAGATCTGTATTTTACCCATAAAAGGGAAAGGTATGAATAAGTCCCTAACAATAACATGCAGCATGATTATTTGCTGAACTGCATACAGGTGTGGTCAGTGTCCAGAAGTAGCTGTTGAGAGGGGCTCAGTAGTCATGGTTTTAAGACGATACGGGCAGCAGCTGGCTTAAGCACACTCAACCAACTAAAACTTGAGTGAAGAAGTTCTTGAACCTTTCCTGATATTATAGTTATATTGCTGTGTTAAACTTTATGCTTTTGTTTATTCATTCCTACAGTATAATGTATGAAGAACAGAAGCCTTTCAGGCTGGCAATCAGTGTCTTTTGGCCAGGAAATTGCGATATAACTCTCTTTAGGGCTGTGCCCTTTGGAAACTTGAAAATGCTGTGCAGTCACTGATACTGTGATCGATTGTCTCTCCACAAGAACAATTCTAATATTTAAAGGCTTTGTTAATAATATAGAGTACAGTGGCGGTGCTAGCGGGGGGAGGGGGACAGAGCTCGTCGGGCAGTCAGACCACAAAACATATAAAAATAGGCCAACACCAAGCCAACACATGTCTGTCACAGTCTGAGAGTGCCATTTCCGGCCACCTAGAGGTTGCTATTCTTAAGAAATCTCATTTGGGAGGAGAACCCCCCTCTACCTCTTCCACCAGCTCAGGCCTACCCTGTCAGACAGCTTAGACCAAAGAAAATATGCTAGAGCTGCCACAGATACAGTATAGTACTGTAGTAGTTACAGTTATAATTAAATTTTGTATCCAACAAACTTATAAGATACGGAAACCTAATGTCCTGTGTGATGTTGGAATTCTAATATGAGACTGTAAATATACCTGTTTTTAGCAAATGAGGGGAAAAAAAACTCCAAAACCACCAGATCAAAACTGAAAAATCCTGGAATTACACAGGATTAACTACTATCAATCTAAAAGTGGTAAACTGAAGGCTACTTGATTTATTGTGGATTATCATCTTATGACCAGATCAATACATTCAGCAATCCTAACTAAAATAGTAAACATGCCTATTCAATTACAAAATAAATCATTAATTTATTCATTCATTTAATTTTTATTGTCAAATTCCAAATTCCAATAGGCTACAAGATCTAATTACTAAAATACTGTACTCGCGCGAATAAGCGCCCGGGCGCTTAAAATATTTTTTGCACTTTCCGAGGGGCGCTTATTCAAACAGAGTGGAAATTGAGGGGGCGCTTATGGAAATAGATGAAAATCGAGGGGTTCTTATGGGAAATTATTAAATTCAAGAGGCACTTTTTGAATGAAAAAAGATTATTTAAGGACATTACGAATGGTGGTTAGGCAGAAAAGATAATCGTCCAGAGAACATGGCTCATGACAAGAATACGTGAATATATACATAACAGCAAATGCAATTAGTGGTGGTGGGTAGCGGTTAGCTTGTTGGCCATCGGCCGATTGAGATTAGCAGGATGGCAGGACCATTGTATTTTTTCTTGAAAACTCAGATGAGAATGTGCTAAAGGTCGGAAAAAGAAAGAGGAGTAGGACTAGGCATAGACAAATATGTAAAACGAGTAAAGTTGGAAATATACTGTCTGTCCAAGGATCAGAGCTCTCATCTGTCCAAGAGAAGTATCCTCATTTTCATATTGACCTAAGAAGAATATGTGTTTCCACTCTGCAGCTCAAATCATGCCAACAACCATAGTCCAAGGATTGATTGGATTATTGACTTGCTAAAAAGAAAATCTTATGATATTATTGAGGGGGCGCTTATTCAAATTAGAAGCGGGCGCTTATTCAAACTGGGCGCTTAAGAAAATTTTCACGTTAGAAGGGGCGGTTATTAGAGAGGGCGCTTATTCAAACGGGGCGCTTATTCGCACGAGTACGGTACACGGCAATGAGGTTGAAACTTGAATCAATGAAAAAACAAATGCAGCACGCTATAATTTAGAATGAAACCATTAGTAGAAGTAGTAGAATGGTATGCCCAAATAATTATGAAATAAGAAAAGTTTAGAATTTTTTGTCCCGAGTTGTGACCTAAGGACTTAAGCACCTGTCCTGAAACTAATGCCACAATGTTTGTAGGGAAAGCGTACCATGTGATATCATTGTTGGATCTTGGTGGTGCCTTCCTGCCTGCTTCCAATCCCAGGGTCATGAATTCAAATTTTTTTCTCACAATTAAAAAACATCTCCACTCCCTAAGCCTCACAATGAGACATCGCAGCATCACATTAATTGGGCCACTGAACATCATCCGATCTACTAGGATACACTTGAAGGGTCACCCCTTTAAAGATGGATTTAAAGAAACTGAGCAGAGTTATGACTATGTAAACTTGGTATACTATGATACAGACTGGCCTATCACCGGTAAAACACAAAACACTGCGAATTATGTTGTTCCAACAATTTTATACATATCTGAGGTGTTGATTTGTGGAACTCGCTTGAGGAATACCTAACTTTAAACTTCAGTCTTGCTATCTTAATTAAATGCAACATACTGAACGTCTTACCGAAATATCACATCATAGGATAGCTAGGCCTAGGCCTATGTACATTATAAAATCGTTTATAGTACTATACAGGGATGTAACACAAAAAGATTGCAAACAGCGCTAGTCCCTAGGCACCTTTAAGTGAAAATGAGCTACGCCTAGGAGTCTAGTGTATGCCCAATTCTATCGCCACCTCGCTTGGCCAACTTGGCCGGCAGAGAATCGTACCCTAGGCTAGGCTAGGCGTAGGCCTATCTAGCCTGATTCCTGGACCCTACCGGCGTTGCTGTAATATCCGACAAGCAGTCCAGTCGTTGTTGCCTTTTTTTTTTTTAACAAGCTTATAAAACTTGATTGTGGTCAATTGAGAATTTGGGTGTGCTTTTTTTTTGCCACATTTATCGCTTCAGAGAGAGCTCCCTCTTGCCAAAAAACCATTAGCATCCGCTGTAACAAATCGTAATCTTTACAAGGCCGGTACAAGTTGTTATGAGATATTTCGAGATTTCACAAGGGACTTTACTGAGATCGTGGCATTCACAAGCAGCTACCCTTGCTAAACTTTTAACAACTTGTGAATTGGGTACATAGGCTTATTTGAAGAAAATCAGGGAGTTGTTAATGTTATGGCAAAATACAGTAAATCATCAAAGTCATTTGAAGGAAACTTACCGAAAATCCAGCCCAGTAAGGACAAGCATTTCGAACTCGGTTGGAGGTGGACATTGCAAAGGCAGTGAAGCTTATGGCAATTATAATAAGACCAAGTAATATTTGACTAATTCCGAATCCAAGTGTAGCCTTTCTTGGGCTAGGGTGTGATATCACCCTACGAAGCACCACTCGGTCAGCCTCCGAAATAATTCCTGTCC